ATATATTTATATTATATTACCGCAATGTATAATAGTAAAATACGTTTCCTTTTAGTTATAATAATAATATAAATGTTCATAAAAGTCATAGTTTAAAATCATTCATACGTATTTTAACAAGTATATTTGTTGTATTTACCGGTTATTCAAAATAAATATAAATCCCTACAAAATCTTTTTCTGAACAGACGTTTTCACACCCAAACGTATTTCATTCAGATATATGCGAATGAATACAAATACGTAATGGCAAAACATGAATTGTTTCAAAATCCGATATAAGCATTTTGAATTAATGTTGAGGCTTTCTTATTTACCATTATCTAATTGATAAAATAACCATTATGAAATTTCCATTATCAGATAAATCAGAGAGTATAAACAAAATTTTGGCATTTTAAAAATAATCAGTTTTGATGAACTTTTAAAAATCATTCCATTTTTACTTCCTTGTAGGAAGTAAATGAAGTACTGTTGTAGAGTTGCGCGCCTCCAACTTGCACGCAACCAAGAGGTGACTGTTGAAACTGGAAAATAGACAGAGTCTTGCTAAGGGTTTAAGTCCCTTTTTATTCAACTTAAGAAGTTACAATTGCGTGCTCTTGACGCTCACAAACTACGCCGACCCGGCGGTAAAATAAAAATAAGAACATGAAAAGAAATAATAACAAGACTCTAACTACGAGGCTCTCTAAACGTAACTAACCTCACCGCGTTTTACAATATCGCTGCTAATTCAGCAAACTTTGAATATCACGTTGAACGATTAACACTTCTCCGAGGCAAGCACACAGGCCGAAACGCGGGGTTCTTCAATTTCTGTCTAACTACCTCCGCGCTCGTGAAGTACGAACAGCACACCTCGAACTCGTTTCCTTTCTATTTAACTCAAAATACTTCCGCTGATAATTTGAATCCTTGCGCGTTCTACTAAAATTTACATACTCTGGCATTGGCAGTTCCAGGGGAAAGTAAGGCTTGACAGGAAAGATAGTTTAAACTTAAAATAAATGTTAGTTAAAATAAATATAAACCCTACACTGTAATCGCGAAACACTGCGGGTAACATATATCAAAGAACATATACATTTTGACCGCTTCCACTTTCATTTAGACGATATATTTTGTGCATGACATCTGCACGTAAGAACAGAATAAAGGATTTTTATTCCCCAAAACAGATTATAAAATAAATTTAAATTTCTTTCGTGACTTTTGTAAGTACGTGTGTATCTCGCATAACTCAAAAACGATTAGCCGTGGAACGTTGAAAGTTTTAAATAGAAATGCTATAACATCTAGTTATGCACATCCCTTTTTTGTTGCAATCGACAGCAATACCCATGCTTTTGGCCTTCTCCGTGGTCTCTGTTTTCTTATTCTTATATGTTGGTAAATTGTGCATTTTTTGCTTTAAAAGTGGTTGAATTATGTTGTTCTTATGTTCCTGTTAAGGTTTTTATGCCTTTAGTTTATCTGCACGCAACAGGTGTAGAATTATCAACAGTTTAAAAGTTTAAGTGGCGCTAGGCCTAACGAGGCTGAAATTTGTTTACATTTCAAATTCTTAGTAGAATAGGTAATTAAGTCAGTTGATGCACCAACTTCAGTGTCTTTTTGCCCAATGGCACCATAAGTTAATTTTCAATTTTGTGCACAGAAAATTTTGTTTTCTCCTGTCCTTTGGCGGAAAAAAAATTGTTAAAGGTGGTAGAAGCAGCAATCATATTTATAGTGGGAAAAAACACACACACATCTGTCGAAGCAAACAGTAGGAAAACTGAAAAAAGTTAAGATGTTAAAATTATAGATATGGAATTCTCTTCCAACTTTGCTAAAATATTTTACATCTAAAACAATTTTCATAAAATTTTCTACATTATTTTGAGAAAGTCTGAAACTGAATCTGTGCATTTAAGATCAGTATTTAAAGAATTAACGCCAGAGCTTAAATTGCGGAGCCTGGTTCTGGTACCTTCTAGTTCTTGGGACATATTCTAATTCTAGAGAAGGCTTCGGCACTTTTTTATGTAACGGAACAATTATTTTAGTAGAAATTTGATCTAGAAAATTTTATTTTTAGCAATAAAATTATATAAAAAATCGCTTATTAAGTTTTAATTCATCTCTTTACATTTTATTTAATTTTAATTATTTAAGTACTTTAATCTTTAATTATTATAATAAATAATAAATCAATTATGAATTAAGTAAATAATAATTACATGTTTAATAATTACTAAATATTAATTATTAATATCAATAAAATAATTATTAATTAATTTGATACTCATTAACTATTTAATTTTTCAATTATTAATGATTTTACAGTCATTTTGTTTATTGACTCTTGTTCCTCATTCGTGATGGTCTTTCATATGGGGACCCACCAGCGGCCGAGCGGCAAAGTCGCTGAACACTGGTAGTTCGGTACGAGGTTCGAATCCCGCGAACGGGATGGCTGCTTGGGCGTTTTTCTGGTGTTCCCCATATGTAACGTGTATACGAGCCAGTTTCCCTTAGAAAGTCCTCCACGAAGGCATTCCTCCCCTTAGGTAAATAGCCCTCGAGGCTTTGCCGTAATTAAATAACCTAACCTAACCTATCTTTCATATGGCTCCGGCACATTTTCTGCAGACGCTCTTCCACTGCTTAATTTCTAAAAAAATTGAAACCCCGAGCCTTATGAAGAACATTCAGGAAAGACATCCAAAAATAGATAAATATTAAAAAAATAATTACCAATTGAAATAATAAAATAGTTATTTGTAAAAATTTCATAAAATGTTAAGACATAAATAAAATTTAATTAATTGAGTTAAATTGATGATAAATAGTTAAATAATAAAATAAAAAATGGCTTTTGTCTTTTTTTGGGCTCTGGCTGAAATAACAATTTCACTGGATAATTGAGAATAAGAAAGCCACACTTCAGTCGAATTTAAGCCTTGAATATATACTATAATATACTATTTCAAGACATGATAGAAACAAAGATCATTTACTTTTCAGCATACCAATAAAAAAGTAAAACGGCTAAAGCGTCATTTAATGACATTACAGATAATGCTAGAAATAGTATCAGAGTGTGGAATGACATTTGAATGTGTAAATGCATGTATGAAAACAAAGAGAGAAGATTCAAAAGAAAAACATAGACAAATATGCTATCTGAAATTAGAATGAATTTTTTAAGATTTGTTTATTACTGAAATAAAATTCTATAAGATTGTAAAGACATTAGGTATATTTTTGGAAGGAGGAAAGAGGAAAAATTAGCAACCGCCTTCGCCGGGAATTGAACCACGGAAACAGGCAAAAAAGTGCAGTATTTAAATCCATATAAAATTTATGTCTTTTTTATAACATATGCTCGTAACATAAACAAAACTATCCACTACTCTTAAAGGTTTTACAGCATACTCATAACAGCAAAATGTGATAACTCACAAAAACTTGAACACGTAAAGTGTGCGGTAATTGAATATAAATAATAATATTAATTAAATAAAAAATAAATCCTTGTAAATGTTAAAATATGCGCGAAATGAATATGTTATAACGATTTTCAATAAATTTAATACATGGAAAAAATTATCAACAACTTAAGCATTGCAAGTAAGATTCTAAATACGATTTGACAGTCATATCTTCATTGAATGTCAAGCGTATTTTCACAGAAACTTAAAATAAAATAAAAAAAATAAATAATTATTATTTTATGAAATGCATCCCAGTATTACTGCTACTAGTAATAATAGTAATTGTAACCAGAATCATCGCACGCCTCACTGTGTTATATTGGTGTAAGAATATTTATTACATACCTCAGACATCTACATATTAATCACAGGCTTAAAGTCTGAATATTGTTTTGAGAAAGGTTTTCCTCATTGATTTGAAGTTACCAGCCCAGCGTGCAGAACCACTACACAACGAAAGCGCGCTAGGAAAGTGGGAGAAATACCTTATATACTGCCCTTTTTAAAGGGCGACTGGGGTTTTTAGGGGACCCAATCACCAAATCCTAGGTGCGAAGAATCCTCATCTAACACCCTTTTAGTTCAGACGCCACTGTAGAAACATTATTAATTTTTGGAAGCAGGCAAGATGAAAAATTAGCAAACGCCTTCGCCGGTAATCGAACCACGGACCTCTGGAATACCGGCTCAGTGTGCAGAACCACAACACCAAGAAGGCACGCTAGGAAGGTGGGAGAAATACCTTATATACTCCCTCTTTAAAGGGCGCCTGGGGTTTTTAGGGGACCCAATCGCCAAATCTTGGGTGTGGAGTGTCATCACCCACAACCCTTTTAGTTCGGGCGCCACTGTAGAGACATGAGATATTTTCTGGAAGGAGGAGATGTGAAAAATGAGCAAACGCCTTCGCAGGGAATCGAACCATGGACTTCTGGAATATCGGCCCAGCGTGCAGAACCACTACACCATGAAGGCACGCCAAGGAGGTGAAAGAAATACCTTATAAGAATCAAAGGGTTTTCTGTTAAAATCATAGTCCCATTTTATAAAAGAAATGTCGGAGCCCTTTTCTGTTTCCAGCTATACAATTAATCTCCAAAACTGGGGAGAACCGGAGCCTGGAGATATGGAAAACAATTGGTACGTAATTTCAGAGAAAAGTTCAATTTTGTGTCAAAATACCTATGTTAGAGTAATGCTATATATATATTCTAAGTCGCTCATTCGAAACATGAAGAACGATAATTAAATTTCGACAATCCGTCAAGTTGAACAGGAGATATAAAACTGTTCCTTTTGTGTGTGTGTGTGTGTGTGTGTGCTAGGTGGATATAAACTTTTTCTATATTTTATTTTATTCTGTATTTTATGTATCAGAAATATATTGTCAAGATAAAAGAAATAACCTACGCCAAACTTCTCGAATATTTTAAGAGGATGTTTAAAGATAGTGCATGAAAAACTATGTAGAACCTTGAGAGAACACTGCTAATGTTCTTTTATTTCTGAATCTTTCAGATTTTGCGTTGGTGACAGGTTTTACCTGCACGAGAACAAGATTCTTTGCGAATACGACTACGAGGAACGAATGGTTTTTGCCAACCTTCCTTACAACATCAACAGCATCTCACTCATCAAACGGCAGACGCAACATCTGCACCTCCAACAGCAGCAGCAACAGCAACAGCAGCAACAACAACAGCAGCAGCAACAGCAGCAGCATGATGATAGATCCAGCGGCTACGGAAGCACGGACTCAGTTTTTGACGCCAAGTGACGCCAAGCCTTGGCGGCGCAATCGCAGATTGCGTCGTAATAGCAGTGATCTCAACACTTCAGGGTACTTCCTTCTCTCTGTGTCTGATGAAAAAAAAAAAAAAAAAAAGAAAAGAAAAGAAAAGGAAAAATAAATGTTAAACTTTCGAAATTTGGGCAAATCACATGCGAACAGCTGGCGGACAAATTTCATTCTGATATATACTGTGACGTTTATTCTTAATCTTCAAAATCAAAGAAAACAAATTCCATAAAATACGAGTGAATCGCTCGAAGAATGATTACCTAACAAATATAAAGGGTATATGTCCTTCAAAAATTAGAAATAATTAGAATTTATCTGGTATAACTTAACGCTAATTTAAATGAGCATTGTAAGTATTCTATGCGAATAACTACTGAATTTTCATTTATAAGATTATTTTCATTGTTTATAAACTCTTGTATATAGTTGTAAATATAAAAAAATATTAATGCGTTATTCTAAATCTGCATTATTATTAAAATAATAAGATAAAATAATTAAAATTATTACTTTTTTCAGTTTTATCGAAATCACGGTAGGTCTCGTTTATTAAAATCGTATTGTATTAAGTCACTTTATGCTTGACAGTATTCAAAAAGAAAATATCGCTTCAAACACAGTTTTTAAAATACATTTAATGGGCATATAAAGATTTTTAATGTAGTGTGAATCCTTAAAATTTTGAGATATCGAAATGTTAAATTGTAAGGAAAAAATAAAAATATGTGTCTCTGCAGGGTATTTTTTAAACGGTTTAAATTAACAGCTGAAATTTTAAATTCTGGAACTAGTAACATGATTTGAAAAAACACACATCTCACTATTTTAATCCTTTAAGATTTTAAAAATATACTATTCAATTTCTGAATGCTTTGAAATTCAGTTAATTAATAAGTAATTAAAAAACTGTAAGCTACCTGTATAACTTAAATTAAATAACAAGTAAAAGAGAAAAAAAATTGAAAAACCTAAATTTTTAGTTTGTACGGTTTCCAGTTCGCCAAATTTTGACACATCTAAATTTATCAGATACTGATAAAAAAGAACAGGAAATTGAAATCTAAATCCTTAAACTGTAATCTGAACTAAATTCGTTAAACAAATCATCACAAATACAATTACTAAATTTTATTCCTCATTAAGCGATTACATTCATCATGTTAATTAAAATTAGAGAATTGTATATTCTCTTGCCTTAAATATTGCATTAACAAAATTAATATTTTAATTTCATGCGTCTGTAATATTTCAATGTATAAAATTACTTACAAACGGGATATTTCGAAGTATGGCCAATTTAAATAGCCCATAATAAATAGAAAAAAAAAAGTGCAGTATTTAAATCCATATATAATTTCTGTCTTATAACATATGCTCGTAACATAAACAAAACTATCCACTACTCTTAACAGCAAAATTTGATAATTCACAAAAACTTGAACACGTAAAGTGTGCGGTAAAGTTGAATGTAAATAATAATATTAATTAAATAAAAAATAAATCCTTGTAAATGTTAAAATATGAGCGAAATGTGTATGTTATAACGATTATCAATAAATTTAATACATGGAAAAAATTATCAACAACTTAAGCATTGCTAGTAAGATTTTAAATACCATTTGACAGTCATATCTTCATTGAAAGTCAAGCGTATTTACACACAAACTTAAAATAAAATGAAAAATTAAAAAATTATTATTTTATGAAATGCATCCCAGTATTACTGCTACTAGTAATAATAGTAATTGTAACCAGAATCATCGCACGCCTCACTGTGTTATATTGGTGTAAGAATATTTATTACATACCTCAGACATCTACATATTAATCACAGGCTTAAAGTCTGAATATTGTTTTGAGAAAGGTTTTCCTCATTGATTTGAAGTTTGAAAATTATTTTATGAAACTCTCATTGAATATTTTGATTGAAACACTAGTCTTTCACTTTAGCTGGTCTAGTCATTCAGAACTTATTCTTTTGTGACAAGAGTGAACTTTTGTCGTCTATATTATAGTGCCAATCGTTTTTACCTCTGAATAATTAAAGCCAAAGGGATGTGGTTTTTAAATTGACTGTTTATTACGTGACTTGTATATAAGGAAGTCAATACTCTGTTACACGTATGTCGATTATATTTTCAGTATTATATCAAAGTTGCTCATGAATACATTTCAGTATGAAAAAATCATTCATCTGTCATTGATGCAAAAGTCTGAGGTCTAACACCCATGTTGGTTCTGTGTTGGGTGTGCTGCATCCGATTCTTATCGGACAGGAGGATTTCAGCACACTCGTGTACTACATTACATCACATTACCCATGTTGATTTAAGAATTGAGTTTAAGAATTATTAACGATAAAATGTTAATTTATTACTTACACACAATGATTGCTTTCATAACAATTAACTAACTGTCTAAGACTGGGGTCCCCAATCTTATTATCTTGAAGGGGGATCATACACCTTAAACTCCTTATGATCTTCGAATACGTGACTGTTGCAAGAATTGGGATAACTTATTTATTTTAAAAGCAATTACTTCCAACTTTTTATGGCTGACTACATAATATAGCTGCTGCTTTTTTAAATTGTAATCAGAACGTTTGTGTTGCCACAAATATTTTTATAATTTAATCCGCTTTGTGACAAAAATTTTGTCATGTTTTCACCTTGCGCGCACAGTTTAAAATTATCTGTTGCATTATTTAATTCCATAGTTTATATATAGCTTTTATAACATTTGGAAACTACTGTAAACCAAAAAAACTGAGAATTTCATGTTTTATTTTATTTGGAGTTGAGTTTATAAAGTGTATTTTATTAAAAAAATCTGTAATGTTTTCGGGCATAAAATTTTTTAATATTAAAATATTCTTCAGATTTTTGGTTCAGTTAGAAAATAGTGCCCATATAAAGCATTCCATCAAATTTCAAGTATGTACCATTAGCCATTTTTAAAATATCATGCGCGCAAGGTGGAAAAATGACGAAAAAGTTTGTGACAAAGCTGATTAAATTACAAAAATATTTGTGGCAACGCAAACTTTCTGGTTACTAGTTTCCAAAGCAGCTATATTATGCAGTCAGCTGTAAAAGATTGGAGGTAATTACTTTTCAAATAAATAAAATATCTCAATTCTTGCAACAGTCACATAATTCGAAGCTCATAAGGGGTTTAAGGTGTATGAGCCCCCTTAAGAGGACATTCTAGAATATCTGTTGGACGTCGGGTACTATTTACTTTTGCAAGATGATTTTATAGTTAAATAAGAGTTAATAATCATGCACATAAAAAACGAGACCGTTCGCATTCCGCTTTGTGCTGGTATTTGTGTTGGATGCAGTTTCTATTTCATTAAAAATGAGAAAATTTTCACATTATTGTAAACTAAAACATTTTTATTGTGATGATGGCACAGCGGCGGGTACATGTTAAACGGCATCGCCATCGGCAGACGCCATGGTGCACGCGCGAATAGGGTTGGGACCCCCTTTTCTAAGACAACCACTTGTGAATGTGACCAGTATTTGTGAGAAGAAGAATGAGCATCGGTATGGTTGGTTTGGTTTATTGAGATTATGGCAAAGCACACTAGGGCTATATGTCTAAGGGAAGGGATGCCTTCGTGGACGCCTTTCTAAGGAAAACTGGCTCGTATACACGTTATACATGGGGGAAAACGCGAAAACGCCCATGCAGCCAGCACGTTCGCGGGATTCGAACCTCGAATCGAACTACCAGTGTTCAGCGACTTCGGCCGCTGGTGGGCCAAACATCGGTATGGAAAATCAACTCCCTAAGACGACTATCTCCATAAAAGTAAAAACCATTTGGGATGAATTAGTGGTGGTCGTCTTAGAGAGGGCTCAGAGTATTTATATTTTAATGCTATATTTATATTTTAAAACCTACTCAACTTACATTCGCCTTTTGTTCTATAAAAAACACTTTCAAAAACACTAAATACAGTATATTATCACATTAAAAGACGTTTTTAACTATAACTGATATGCAATATGCTTTTAACTACAAAATTTTATTTTCATATTTCCTTTAGCTTGTAAGCCATTAAGCAGACAGGTGATAGATGACAGAATGTCTAGACACCCGGACGGCTTGCATAGACTAATCAGTTATCGTCCGGATCCCGCAACCATCTGAAGCTACACCCGAAATTAATACAAGAGCAAAGTATAAGTTTTTCTGCATGCAGAATTAAACATTTTCCTAGCTACATTGCATGTTAACACATTGCTACACATATTACACATTGCTACACCTATAACACATTGCTACACATATGTTAACACATTGCTACACATACCACATTGCTATACTATACATTTTATAATATGCATTAATACACTATATATTCTTTGAAACATATTACGCTTACATATTATTCGTGATAATTCAACATAGATTCTGAACAATGAACTTGATTAAATAAGACATAACTTGATTATTATAAAACATACTAACTTAGTTATATAAGACAGGCTGAAATAAATAACTTCATACAACAGATAAATAAATGAAGAGCTTTTAAATAAAGAGCAAAATTACACAATCGCACACAGAAATACACGTTGTTTACTTTATGCTGTACTAATAATATACAAAATACAGATTTGGGGACACAGTATAGCCCATATTATTTCTGATTATAAAACATTATGTTAAAAGTTCACTGTGGCATAAATTTTGCTGTATTCTTAAAACATACAAGAAATAACTTGTAATTAAACATTCTACTGGCCACATTGCACGTTAACATACTGCTGTACGTAAAAAATTCAATACAGTGAAGTTGTTATAATACATATTACATTGAACACTGCACTATATTTAAGACACCTTACAAAATTCATTTCTACACTTAACGCACTCTTTGCATTAGCTACATATTATATTCAGCATTACTCGTGATTAAATAGACACTGGTAATAGGTTTATTTAATTATGGCAAAGCACACTAGGGGTATATGCCTAAGGGGAGGGACGCCTTCGTGGAGGACTTTCTAAGTGAAACTGACTCGTATACACGTAACACATGGGGGAAACCACGAAAACGCCCATGCAGCCAGCCAGTTCGCGAGATTCGAACCTCGGCCACTGGTAATAAATCTTTGTTATATACAACATAATTCTTAATACAAAGGGTTTTAACAAACTGTTAAAAATATACATTGAGCGAAAAGAAATTTACTGAATGTGGAAACATGCAATCGGTTACTTACTGCTGCGAATATCACATGCAAAGTACAGGTGTGTTGTTTGGCAACCCACAGTATTCTATGCATGAAGCACTCATCTACTTCCTTAACTAATATTTGAATCAAAATGCCTTCTGATATTTTGTTGGCGAGTCGTGAAATGCAAAGGAAAGGTAAATCGCTGCAAAATTTAAAAAAAAAAAAAAAAAAAAAATAGTTATTAAAAAAAGAAAATCTGAACGCTTTCAGATTTTATATTACGCCCAATTGGGGTTTTGAGCGTTTTGCGTTACCTTCATTTATTAAATATCATGTTCTTTGCACTTAAACCACATAAAATTTAATTCAACAGTATTATTACAAAAATATTAAAAAACAGCATATCTTTAGAATTTCCGATACGCGGTCTCGCGAGCTCGAGACAAAAATATTTATTTCCGTACAGTGTTGCCATTGCTTGCTTTCAAATCGTTCAGTTTGTTAATCAAAAATTCGTTTAAAGTTCTACAAAATTTGCTGTAGATAATAAAACAAATTCAAAATTCAGGCTTCCAAATGCCCATGTTCGGTTGGAGGACTACGTTGTTCAAAATTGGATGGTTCTCGGTACCGTTGTCTTTTCACAATGCGAGAAGCATTCGCGCATTGATACAGATTCTTCATTATTTAGTTTCTTTAAATATAATACAGGGTGATACCGAAAGGTTGGTGGTTCGTGCCCACCCGAGGGCGAGTTACGATTTACTGGCGTAGCCCGTATAGGGTCATAGGGCAAACTTTATTTTGCAAGGTGGACCGGGTTGCGCCCTAACAAAACAGGGCGATAATATTTGGTGGGAACAGTTTGAAAAGTGAATCAACGCCAAAAAGTGAAACGACGCTGAATGCCGTTTGGAGACTAACAGCCCTTTGGGCTAAAAATCTTAGGAAACTTCGTTAGGAAAATGTTTTAGGTTTATACTATATTTTAAATTTTTTGAGGGGGCGAAAAAAGTGGGGACCCTAAGATATAGCTTGTGTTGCTTATACGTAAATCCTGCTTTGGTTCCATGTAACGGATTTTAACGTCTTGAATCGTTTATATCTCTAGAAAATATTTGAGTAAAGTTCACAACGCATGCAAACGTAATATCACTCCTATAATATATCATATAAATTGTTTCACACGTTCCATAACTTTACATTCATAAGACACAAGACAGGGTTTTGTTGTTCTTGAAGACGGAAACACAACATGCTTAAAACTCCCTGTTATAATCCAAATTCCTCAGAGGCCCACCAGCGGCCGAGCGGTAAAGACGCTGAACACTGGTAGTTCGGTCCGAGGTTCGAATCCCGCGAACGGGCTGGCTGCATGGGCGTTTTCGTGGTT